CCTGCTGACTGTAAAGAGTGGAATGCTTGCACGGTTTGTGAAGAAGAGGGCAAATGTAAAGAATGTAGTAAATGCAGAGAATAGAGTACTTGCAGTACTTAGACACGTCATGGTAACTGCTGAAAAGAAACTGATGTGAAATTTAACTGTAATTGTTGTACAATTATTTGTGCCCTGGAGTAGAAGGCAATCCCTGTCAGACTGTCTCAGAGCACAGCACTCCCAGGGCTGCCAGCTAGTAGTACTGTAATTATGTTATTTTTATAATACAGGCATGTAACAAAGGGTGATTACAATGTAAAGGAGTAAATGTTCTGTCAGTAACATGAAACCTGCCTGAATAAATTATTGGTTACATGGAGGTATACACAAGAAAATGAACATACACAAGCCATATGTCTTGGTGGTGATCTGTATGACAGGAATGCTACAGTACAATTGGTTAGGTCACTTTATCCAAACGATGTGAGAGGTTTGATTTCACTGCAATGCTATAACATCCTTAGGAAGCACATACAAGGCACCTGCAACTCACTGCTCCAAACCTTCCAAGGCATAAGCACTGAAGCATCTTCACAGAAGATGTGTCCCACCATAGGCTCACAGGGAAGATAGACATCTACGGTACCTCCTCTCTCTTGCAAAAGCACATATGTAAGGAAAAGCAGCAGGTGTTGAGAAGTTTTCTTAACTGCTAAGTAGTTTGCAACTTCTAGCAAACCTTGGGTCTTCCATCCAAATCCCCAGGTTTCAAGAATGAGGCCAAGTTCAGCATGTGTTACCACAGTTCACATGCATTGTGTAAAATACCAAAATGATGCTCCTGACCTACACAAAGTGTGGGATGAACAAGCAAAAAGAACAAAAGAAGAATGGCTCAGATGTGGAAAAATACTGAAACAGCTATTTAAGTACTCCACTTGTAATCGCTCCATCAGTAGCAAGGTGGTAAGGAACAATCATTGTGAGTCTGCTGAAGTCAAATGGAGTCAAATTAACTTAACCGCTCTCTTTGGCAGCGACCCTGGGCTATGGAGCAGCTTGCAAAATGGTAGCAAGAAACCAGCTGTAGGGACTGGTGAGGGACATGAGACGAGAAAGTTGCTGGGAACAGAGTAATGGCGACAAGTAGGTACTGGCAGGTGTGACAAGGGTAGAGAGATGAGGCACTGCTGGGAGTGCTTCAATCAGGCAACCTGGAGCACAAGGGCACACTGAATCTGGCTGTTGGCAGCCACCCTCTCAGGTCCCCACTTCTGATTTTCTCCTGCCCAAAGTCTAGAGTGTGGGACAGCTGCACAGAGTGCTGTGACCAATTTGAAGCGCGGCCTGTTAAGAAAGTTGCTGCTAAAAAACCTTTTAATGTTAAGAAAAATGTAAAGAAAGATTAAAATATACCAGCTGGGTTCAGTCTAGGGATGAGAGAGTTGAGTCTGTCTTCAGATAGATGCATAACAGACATAAAAGGAACAGTGATGAGTTATTCTCCCTGTAACTGGCTTGGTCCTTTTAGGTTAATTCAGGTCCTTTTAGTTTGGGGAATAAATAGAATAAGAGTGAAATGCTACAGGAAACAACTTAAGATGTGGAATCTGCAAATATGGGAGGCTTCCAAATAATGGGGATGAACACCAGTTAAAAAAGGTCAAGACATACTCGATGTGCCTCAGAAAAAGGGAAATTGAATAAATAGCTTCTACAGTTTCCTTACAAACGTGTCTGATACTACAGCTACCACGAATAACACTTAAGCTTGCATGAAGACACTACATATTTTTAAATAAGTTAAACTCACAGGAAGAAAAAATAATTAAAACAAACCATGTAGATTTGCAGCTTAAATTTGGTAAAATAATTCAAGTAACTTGATCTTTACATGTGAACACTGCTATTCCATGTTGTCAACATCACTAATACCAGCTCAACAAACGTAACTGCTATTTCTGTACTTTTTCTGAACAGAAGCGACATTACTATTAAACTAACATAAAAATAATTTATTGTTAGTGATTTTGTATTACAATTTAGACTAAGTTCTATTTGCATATTAGTCTTTAAATTGAACAAAACCCCTTCACATATCAAAACCAACCAACTAACCAAAACCAAACCCCTAAAATTACTAATGACAATGTATACTCAGTTTCAAAAACCCTGGTATTTTATGATTGACTTCCTGAACATTGTAATTCCAATCCAGAGTATTTTATTTCCACTTGTAATCAAAATATCTTTTCAGATTACAGTAAAACCTCACAGAGGAAAAAAAATGTTAAATACTGTCCATTTTACTTATTTTTTTTTACTTATTTTACAATTAGTGTTAAGATACTTTTTGGGTTCTGGCAGCAATTTACTAGAGTCAGAGATACAAAAACAGAGAATCATCATTATTAATGAGGTATGAATTTGTTCATATCAGGTTTCTTGGGATACAGCCTTCTATTTGGATTTCAGCTGGCCAGCCACCATATCTGTTCTTCTTCTTGTCAGAGTGGTTTATCTGTTGAAAAAAATAAAATAATGAAAAGAAATCAGTATTTTGTTCTCTATTTACAAAGTTGTTTGTCAAACCTCTTACAAAGAAGCGTGTAATGGAGTACTGGGAAGCTAAGTAGCACATTGCACATCTGGCTTTACATAATGGGTGAATATTCCATCAATTTCTCTCTTACACAGAGTGCTTTATTTATTTCCCAGATGGTTGTCATAATATACACTAAATTAAATACTTCTTTTTCTGCAGAAGCTCTGTAATGTGAAGAAGATTGCAACAATATTCTGGGAAAAAAAGAAAAAAATCAACAAACCAAACTCAAACTGTGGATGTTTCACATGCCTTTGCAGGGAGTCAGTATCATCAAGGGAACTGACCTCAGTATTGGGTTTTCTCATTTCTGTCTGTCATACAGATGAGCACTACTGGGTTTATAGAAAGCAAATACAAGGTCACAGATAGAATAGAAATCTGATATAAAATTGGTACTTTTAGTCCTCCTAAAGCCTGAGGGCAAGTTATTGAGAAAAGTTTTATGATGCAAGCATTGCTGTATTTCCACAGCCAACTTGAGCCAGCTTGATTTTCATATTAAAAAGTCCTTATCTTTAGGAAGTTCTTGGAATTTGTCCTTCCAGAAGATACCTCTGTACAGCATGTCAAATTGGACATTCCAAAACTGAGACTCTCTAGAATTGCTGGTTCCTTTTCAAATTTGTCTACACATGATTAGATTCTATGATTCCATGGGCTGATCACTGGAACAGGTTACCCAGCGAGGTGGTGCAGGCCCCACCCCTGGAGACATTCAAGGTTCAGCTTGATGGGGCCCTGAGCAACCTGACCTAGTTAGAGATGTCCCTGCTTATTGTAGGAGGGGTTGGACTAGATGGCCTTTAGAGGTCCCTTCTAACCCAATACATTCTATGACTTAACAGTGGTATGGCAGAAGTCAGTATTGTACATGGCCCAGCTCCAAAGCAAAGAATGATGCCAACCATAGTGATTCTATGATTAGAGAACTTGCTTTGTGCAACTGAACAGACTACAGTTATTATAGCTAACACACAGAATCTGCACCTGAAAGGTGTATCTGATATAAACACAAATATAAAGCGAAAATAAAATGAACCTGACCTTTTCTTTTTGGATATTATCTGGCAGATTGAAGCCTTTGGCAGCTATAAAAGCCCAGCTTGACCTGAAATTCATATTCCATATTTCTTTACTTCCCAGCTCTTCTATTAATTTTTTGGCATCACTTTTTAACCTAGGAAAATGGAGGGAAAAAAAGTGTTAAAAAATCCAGATGTGAAAAAATGCTGAAAAAGAACACAGCTGATTCATGTTTTACATTAGTAAGCCAGTAGAAGCAAAAATGAGAAGTTCAAAAAATCCTGAGAGCTGTCTTAGTAGCAAAATTCTTTTTCTTCCTCCCTTCTAGGTTCCTGATGTTAACACAACCAGTTTGTAACAGCGTAACAGAAAGAAAAATGTATCTCAAATAGTATTTGATGTTTCAACTCTTCTTGAATAAGGACAAGGGCATCAAATATTTATCAGCCAAATTATTGAGTCTTTCCCTGTGTGATTACCATACCATGAATTCAACTGAAAAAAACCCTAAGAGTCAAAAGCACTTGAAGAATCAGGTTAATTGGAGGTGTGGATACCTTCTTAACAGTCTGCGATACACAGATAATGGCAGTGCCCTTTATGAGGACAACTGGTGTTTTTAAACAAACATAACACTATTTATCTTCATAAGAATGCATCTTTAGAAGCATCAACATACATGACACAAGCAAGCACTGGGCAGACATAGAATCTAAACCTTTTAGGCAGGAAATGAGAGAACAACCTTGACTACAGAGTGAAGTCAGCTCTGGAGCACCCAACACAAGAAGGACATGGACCTCTTGCGGTGGGTCCAGAGGAGGGCCATGAAGATGATCAGGAGACTGGAGCACCTCACCCACGGGGACAGACTGAGGGAGCTAGGGTTGTTCAGCCCACAGAAGAGAAGGTTCCGGGGAGACCTTATTGCAGTGTTCCAGTATCTGAAGGGGGCCTACAAGGAGGCTGGGGAGGACTTTTTGCAAGGGCTTGTAGTGACAGGATGAGGGGCAAAGGGTTCAAGCTGGAAGAGGGTAGATTTAGGTCAGAAATGAGGAAGAAGTTCTTCACTCTGAGGGTGATGAGACACTGGCACAGGTTGCCCAGGGAAGCTGTGAATGCTCCATCACCCGAGGTGTTCATGACTAGGATGGATGCAGCTTTGTGCAACTCTGTTTCTCAGCTTGTCATGAGTAACTTGCTCACCGGGTGCTTCCATCATCATGAGTCACCATCAACAGAAGGGACCCTTCTGGTGCGTTTTTAATGAAAGCCATCATCTCTCCTGAATGGTCTGTTGAATCAATTATGCAACTGATTATTCATTACACACACATCACATTCCACCTACTTTCAACTTGTTTTCACTTTTTGGCCAAGTCTATTCAAAAAGAGATCTAATTATGCAGTTTTTCTATTTACACGCAGAGAGCCTAATCCTAAAGCTGCTAGCTCTCACTGAAGGCTAGGAGAGCATGGATTAATCTGCATTTCCCAGTAGTAAACAAAGATACTTCTGAACTTCTACAAAAGCCATTTATGCTCAGGGTCAGTATATAGATGGTTTCTTATGTTTACCTCACATAATATTATATATACAAGCAAAGCATGGAATAGCCCAGGAGAAGACATTGCTATTCTGTGAGCTTCCTACTACTCTGCTAACTGCAGAGCTGAGTTACACGCCCTGTTGTCCACCCACTTTCATTAAGTGGCAGCCTATTTGGAGAACTAAGCTGTTCATTGTTTTTGTAATTGCTAAGCATACACAAGACACTTGTTTTCCATACAAAAAAAATGTAACAGGCACTCTGGAGGCATTACAGTCTACATACCACATATAAAACTGTAGCCCCATTATTAGTCTCAGAGTAATTTCTATTCATGCACGTAAGGTCACAAGCATTCTTTAGTGGTCAGAGAATCAGCTTCCAGTGCCTCACAGCATTCTGTTTCTCCTTACTAATAGGTAAGGAAACTGTTACAGTTCAAAGTTTGGAAAATGTGCTAAAAGCTATTCTTAAAGTAGATCATCTTTCTAGCTACATGGACGGATATTAAATGACAGACTAGAAACCTCCTTTGATGATTTTACAACTAAAAGAGAACAAAATATGTCAGGAAAAGGAATTTTGTTGAGTGAAGTATCTGGATGTGGTACCTGGATAAGTACTACTTCTACCAGTTTGAAATAATGGTGAAAAAGAAAAAAAAGACTACTAAAAAATGGTAATTCGACAATTAAAAAAATATAGCAAGACAACTAACAAAAAAGAAAATTAACTATCTCAACCAACAGGAGAAATTCAGCTTTTCAGGCAAAATTTGTCATCAGATCTGGCCAGAGCATATTTTAGGAAGACAACAGCTGTTTTTTTCTAGCTGATCCCAAATCAATCGTAATATAATCATAGTCATTTGAAAGAGCAGGATAATTACATAAATCCTTTCTTAATGATGAAACACTAACAAAAACTCTATTGCAGTCTTTTCCCTACCTCCTTCCCACATGTCAAAAAAATTTGTCGACGTAACTTTTCCTGTTTTATCTGTAATAAAAAAAAAGTTGTGTAAACATGAGTAAAAATGATTAAATTCAATCACCATACAGAGCTTTTTCAGCTAAAGCTGTGTATTATTTGGTTTCTGCATTTTCTTTTGTTTAATTTTGTTTCTAAATTGGAAGGAATATGGAATAATGTAAATTTAAGATTTGGGGAGAATATTTTGTTTCATGTAGTCTCAAATCATCATCAAATGTGACTAAAACATTTTTGTTACTTTTTATTTTAAAGATGGAATTGAGTTTATTCTGTGGTTCCATGTTTTTGCATCTATATATATTATATATAGATCACAACTGAAAATTGCTTAAGCCTAAGACTATTTGAAGGAGCTTAATACTGCTATGTGCAGTGCTTCAGATGTGCAAGCTTTCAGGCCATTTGAATCTCAGTGGACAGAAACTCAACACTCATCATTACCGTATCAGAAATTGGGTATGCAAACAGTCAGTCATTCCAAAACATTTTGGTCAATATTGATCACTAATTTTGCTGCTGTTTAGATGGCTTTGTTCAAGACATACACAATTGGAAATACTTTTGAAATGTCTGAATCCATGCCAGTTGAGTTAATTGATTTTCTTTATCCAAGATCCATATCCCTGTCACTTGAAAGGGTCTTCTACTTGAGAGGGTCTTCTCCATTTAGAGTGCATCAGGTCATTTCTAGTCAGAGGATCTAGCTGTTCCTGATTGATTTCTGGCTTATCTTTGATCCATATATGGTAAAATCAAGACAGCAAATTCTTCTGAAAATAGAATTCTAAATGGCAGGCTTATCACACTGAAGAGCGGGAAAGGTGGCAAAAATCTGTCAAGTGGTAAAAAAGGATTCTAGAACCGGGCTTATTCTGGGCAGAGTTCTCAAAAAAAAAAATGGGAAGGGTCTAGTGAGGGCCACAGAAATCCACAAAATTCTTTCTTTCTCTCTCTGTTGTTTGTTTGGGCTTAATAGTTCTGTCTTCCTTCTTACAAAAGACCATACTCATTCAGAGACGAAAGAGTTATCATTATGGGATGAAATACAAGTGTGATGCCATAGGAAACTTACTGACTTGACTAATCTAATTAGAGGACGTGTAGAAAATACGTCTCACTACAAATTGGTTTGAGATAATGGACAGATTTACCTGCAGATGTAGATGAATGTAGCTGAAACCAACTATATGTATGATGAATGAAAGGAGTGTTTAAAAATGTGTAAAATTTGATATCACTTCTTTTTCCTCACTAATGTCAGATGCAAAGATAATGCTAGTTTCCTACTTCTATTTGCTATAATCATGTGTATGCATTCAGAATAAGTATTTGCCCTTTTATCCTACAGCTCTATGCTGAAAACTCATTTTTATTTGCTTACCTATTATAAACAGTATGATAATTTTATGATTATGAAAAAAGAAATGCAGTAGTTAACTGGGAAAAAAAGAATTGCAAAAAATTCTTGTCTGTGGTAGCTTATCACTTAAATCATGCAAATTCAGATAAGGTCAAGATCTTGCTTAGCAATACTGAGACAAAAAAAGTACATGTTTTGTGATCAAAACCATATTGACTGTGCATCTGAACTCCATTTCTTCCCCTCCCCACAACATTTAGGCATGAATTTCTCTCAGGATACATTATCGAATACACTGTACTTCATCACCAATCCCATTCATCTGAATTAAAACGGTGCCTCCAGATCTGGAATAAATTGCACCTTCTGCTTTCCAATAGCTCCTACTGTAAGCAAAACCACATAAGAGCAGTTTAATATTGATCAAGCTTTGAGTTTGTGTTTCTGCCCGCTGACCAAGTCTGGAAAAGGAATTTGTACCTTGGTTGTACCTTAGGGCAGAACTGCAATTCTCTGTTACTGCTTGCCCATTATCTGTGGAGCAATAGACACCTTTGATCAAGGACTGAAAGTTGAGTGTCACTGCTGGAGATCATGGATTATTTTTGCTGTTACATAAGTAGTAGTTCTTTTATCTAATAAATTACACATATACTGCTCCTGTGTACACATTTGCCATTTTCTTATAATGACTATAAACACATTTCTTTTGTTTATGCAGAAAACTATTTCTCTCAAACACAGACTTCGTTTTCTTATATTTAACATGAATCAAGATTGCAATTTTTTTCCTTTCTCTTTCGTTCTATACTAGCTAGTAAAAGAACCTCCACAACCAAAGGAAAAAAAAACAAATCCCCTCAAAAACCTTTGGAAATTATTGCAGTACAAAAGTCAGTCTCTCTTTAGCAATTTTTTTCTCTTACTTACAATTCACAATGGCAATGTTTATACCTCTTCCAACATTACTCTTCTCTTCACTTATAAGCCTGGAATTGAAATTAATACAGTTATGAGAAGAATGCATCTGTCCATAAGGTCTGATCCAAAGTCATATATACCAGTGCTGTCACTTTGTGATGTTCATGTTTTCTTCAGTTGTTTAATTCAATACTTTGTAGTAAACAACAGCTATGGCTTAAAAATCTTGCACATTATATCAGTCAGTTCTCTTCAACAAAGCATGAGTCTTTCAAAATGAGCCTGATAAGGAAAATACTTCATACAATGCAGCCAGAAAGATAAAGTAGGGAAAAAAAAATCAAACAACCAAAACCAAACAAAAAATAGAATAAAATGTGGTTTTGTGGCAGTATTCTGTGTGGACTATATATACACAGAAAATCATTGCAAGGTTTTGAAATGACTCTACATGTCTAGTTTGAAAAGCCATGAAAAAACAGTGACTTTCAGAAGGCACTGACCATACAACATAGTGGAAACTAGATATCCCACACCATGAAAATTAAAAATCATACAAAACTAACAGCTGAATGCAGCTTACGTAGAGAAACAAAGAAAATAACCCTAGATTAGGTATTAAGAAGGAGGGGGTGTGGAGGAAAAAAGAATTAAACACCGTAAGATATATTCTTAAGTTTATCACCAGAATAGGAGGCCCCTGGCAGGAGCTTGCTTGCTGCTGCTAAACCGAAACGCAACACTTGTCTTCACACTACAAAATACTTGCTTGGATCTAAAGTTAGACTGGTACTCACAGCTCATCCTCAAAACAAATTTTAGCCAGCTTTCCTTTGCCACCACCACTAAGAACCCGATAGGCATAGTTCCCAGGTGAGCAGGGAGACCAGTGATCACACTTCTGCCTTTTTGGAACTGGAGCTACAACAAAGATGAGAAAATGTGTTTTTAGATGCTGCATAAACAATTTCTACACGGAAAGTATCACCTAATATCAACACCCTAAGCTCAGACATATATACACAGAAGCAAATTTCCCAGCTTTCCAGTATTACAGCAGCATTATCACAGATTTGCCTGGGCTTTAAGCTATCACCGACTTGCAAAGAGCTGCTGCAACCAAAGGCAAGCTTTTGTAGGGAACAATGCCCCATATAATATGATCTGATTTGAATCTAGAGTTATTATTTTGTGTTATTTCATATAATAGGGAACAAGGGCTAGAGGCAGGGATTCCTACTGATAGCTTGAAGTTAATGATTATCATTCTCATTTTAAACCTTTTTCACAAAGTAACATAGTCATAGATTGAGAAAAATGTACACATTAAGCCACCTAATCAGATTAGAGAGAAGAAATAATGAGAATTTAATCACAAAGACTGGTCAGTGATTCAATGGTCTACCATAACCGTAAAATAGGTGACAGAACCAAAGCTGCAGCTGCAGTTTATGCTTATATGCCAGCAAACAAATAAGGTTTTCTTACATAGATATTCAATTAATTATATTTGCATATTGGCAAATATAGGCTGACGTGTTTCTTCAAAGGCAGTGTCTAAAAAATACTCAGACTTGCACTAATTAACTTTACATAGCAAACTTCATTCTTACAATAGCACGTACCAATTCACTTATTAGCTAACAAGCCATTTGTCATTTAGCATATAATTATAGAGCTTAGTTACAGTGTAAGGAAAAAAAAAAATAAAATAAATAAAACCACACACCCCTCAACACTGGTTTCTTTCCAATGTCTTGAAGTTTAGCAATAGATGCTGTTATTGTCACTTCAGGTACAAGAGTAGCACATAAGTTCCCCACGTACAAACCAGCCAATGATACCAATACAAGCCCTGCTAATCTCAGAAGATCTGCCATGGAAAAACAAAAAAAACCACAGAGACATAAAGATGTTTTCATAGCAACACAAAGAATCTTGTATTTTCTCTGATATTGCTACACAAATTGGCTATTTTATTTCTGATATACTGTATTAATGACAGTCTTCAATAGAGTACTTCCTGCATTCCCATCTCTTGCAGCCCCTTCTGTTTATAAAACTTGATCTTCAAGTAGAAAACTCCTCCCAAAAATCCCCGCAATCCATGTCCATAATATCCCCAGAAAAGGTCAACTTAATCCTGGTGGGATTTTTACTCTGAAGAGTAAGTACCAGGTACTACACTTGACAATACAGGTAATATGCAGTTACTACTGATTTTCTGTGATAGCCAGACACTAGAGGAATGATTTCAAACACTGACCATACAGGGAACTCCCTCCATACGCCCTTCTGACATGCTGAGTAAAAGTAACTGAAGAAGGCCCAATAATCTCATTCACACACAAAGAGCTCAGATTGCATTCAAACACCACTAGAATGACTGTTTCACCTTCTCTCAGCTATAACACAGTCTCCATGTCCTGCATTAGCAGCATACCTACACACTATGCAAATGACAGAATTCAGAGTTGTAATGGTTTGAAAACAAACC